TTTTTCCTGTGGAAAAAATTCTTCATGCCTTAAAATAGCTTGAATGTAACACTATACCCTTGCTTCATTTAGTATACAGTACGTGGACCCATGAATATGCTAATTAGCCAAGCTTCCACTCACGCCTGCTTATTGAGGTAAACGCTGCACAATGGTATCACTCTTTTCAACGTCGGACACATAACAGTAATTGATATGATTAGCCTTTTGCCTGACTATGTTATCAAACAGCTAATAATGTTTTGCTAATGTTACACAAACTATGTTCCCGTTTGCCATCTCAATCTGCCTTCTAACAATTATCAGAAACGCTTTGAACAACTCAGAACATCAGTGGAGAAAGGCATGTAGTTTATCATAACATCTTGATATACATCATACACCCACTATATTGCTAAATCTACCCGATTTTTCATATCAACAAAAAAATATACCGGGATAACCTAGCATCTCTCGAGACTCCCCTGCTAGTTCGCTGTTAATGATATGCTAAAGCCCGCTGGCACATTGATGTGATTGGTTACAAGGTAGTTTGTGACATCAGAAACAACCACGTTTTTGAGACTGTCTTTTTTTCAGTGCAGTTTAATAGTTAGGTCAATAAAAATATTAAAAAGACCTTAAGATAAATACTGGACTTCTGAAGCTGCAAAAGAAAAATTTGCACTCATTTCAAATTGACCTCTGACATCCTATGACATAAAATCCATCTAAATTTAAATGATCACAGGCATATGGGTATTATGGTTCACGGTCATAGTGGCACCAGCTGCTGCAGTAAATGTGGCGTATCCAGACAACTTTGATATGGTTCTTTTACATTTACCGGGTTTGAATTCATATTGCCCTTCGTGCACAGTAACCCTAAAGGGTTTACTGTTACCGGGGCTTGGGCCCATCCTCGCTGCTTGCAGCTATATTTATTATTATTTTTCTTTCAAGGTTTTTGGCACTTTTGGGGCCCTTAACGTGCCTTAAAACTCTTGAAACTTTGCACACAGGTCAGAATCCATTAGGGCCGGGCTAAAGCTGTTACCCGGGCGTGGCAGGGGGGCTCGATAGCGTCCCCTTGAATGGGGTCTGAAAACTTGGTCCCATATATCAAACATGCTTGCATGTATAAGTATAAAACTCGGTACACATTTAAACCTCATCGGGCCGAATGACTTTTGTGCTCTAATTTATACGCCAGCCCAACAGTAAGTCAGCTATTATGGGTTGTTTGAAAAACGCATGCTCTGGAATTTGATACTATCCTCCTACATGATTAATCGGATCGCCACCAAACTCGGTCAACATGAAGACAAGACATTGAGGATGCTAAATTCGAACAGATTACTTGATATCTTAAATACTGTTGCCATGGAAATGCATCTAACTTAAATATTCTTTTTGGATGCTTTTAAGGCTCTTAGCATGCTTCAAATTGCATGAAACTCAACACACACATCACAGTTGTCGGCCAGTAGACATGGGCAAAGCATCAGAAACGGGCGTGGTGGAGGGGCTCAGTGCTATTTTGGTTTGAATGTGGTTTTTTTTGTGTGTTTTTTTAAATCAGGCTCTGAATTTTTAACTACCTCTCCTAAGTGTTTTTTTATTATTATTATTCACACCAAACTTTTTCAACATCATGACAATATATTAAAGATACTGATCAGTTGTCAGTTACACTCTGACAAGAGTTTAACCCTTTCATTGCTGTGTGCTTTGGCCTGCATTAAAGGATTGTACAGCACTTTGGTACACACTGTGTTTTTTAAAGTGCTTTATAAATAAACTTTGATTTGATTTGATAAGAAATCTCTTAGGCCCTGTCTATTTCTGAGTTTTAATAACAAAATAAATGCATGGAACCAGTTCATGTGTAGGGCACTGACAATATAGTTTTGTATTATTACTTTAATAATTAGGTTAATAAAAATACAAAAATACCTTAAGATAAATACTGGACTTAAAACATTTTGAGCTGCAAAAGATAACTTTTGACATGACAAAGTGATCTATGACATGCAATTCATTTAAATTTAAACAATCGCATAGCGGCACCAGCTGCTGCAGTAAATGTGGTGCATTCAGATTACTTTTATATGGTCCTTTTACATTTACCGGGATTAAATTCATATTGCCCATCATGCAAAGTTGCCCTAAAGCCACCGGGGCTTGGGCCCGTCATCGCTGCTTGCAGCTATATTTATAATTTAATTAATATTTTTCCATCTTTGGGAATAATTGAGATTGTAGCTTCCCTCCAGAAGGGAATTACAATTACAATCAAGCCTGAAATCTTGGGACTATCTGTTCCCTTTCATAGGTTCCCTCAATGCTGCATCAGTAGCTGAAACCCACCTTATTCCTTGACAGTGTCTGCCCTGCCAGTTCTGCCGCAACATTTTGGATGACAGCAGACTTTTCATGTGCCCCATATGACAGTACACTTCTGTTCACTCTGCACAGCAAGGAATTTTTCTGGCTTTGGGCAATTTTCTTCCAAACCTTCATAACTGTTATGTTGTCGAGTTTGTTCATGTCCAATGTGGAGGTTAGTGCAATGCTTTAATTTAGAGGAAAATATGGGAGCAGACTTCCCCCAAGAACTGAGGAACGGATATTGGAAGCTGCACCCTCAGACTGTGAGTCTAATCTGCCAGCAGGACAGAGGTGGATTTGATCACCTCAAGCGAGACACCTCATTGTCCTCTATGGTTCTTTCTGTCATCTTCAGTGTCTTTTGGACTGGATGCTCTGGCTCACGCATAGCCAAGTACATGCTTTTATGCTTTTTGTCAGTCAAACTGATTCCATTAGTCCTGGCTAGAAGATAGAAATACAAAGTTTATCTTTCTGTTAGATGCACTGCAATGGTCATCCCACGTCTGGTTTTCGGATCTTGTATCTCTCCTGGAGGAAACTCCTTGAAAGAATTCGGTCAGAGCCAACCTGTTGTCTCAGATTCTAGGTATAATATTAGATCCTCACAAAAGTATGTCTAATGGATCTTTAATGGATCTTTGTCTTTCACAGGTTATATGCTCTCAAGTGGAGACTATTTGCATCCTGGGGTAAGGAACGTAATTTGGACCAAGTTTTCGGCCCGGTTGGGTTAGTGCTGCATCTTGGTTACGTATGTAACCATGGTTCCCTAAATAAAGAATGAGATGGTGCATAGCTGGGCACGCTCCGTTGTTACTGCTTTTTTATAGATATCCGAGGAATGATGGATCAAGCGCTTCTTTATGAGGATCTGGTGGCGCAGTGCCTCAGAGGAGCGGTGTCAGTGCCATCAGCCAGTAAGTGTTTCATAGTGTCAGCTACTGACACATCATCTCGTTCCCTATTCAGGGAACCAAGGTTACATACCTAAGAGACATTCTCTAAAGTTTTTTTTATACCACATGGATATGTATCCATCTGCACCAGGGCTATTGTTAGTTTTTAATCTTGTTATTGATTAATTATTTTCATCTCATTGTCAACATTTTATTAATTACTTGTTGCAGATCAAAGATCTATAGAGGGTAAGTCAGTCAAGTCAAGTCACCTTCATTTATATAATGATTTTAACAATATAGATTGTTTCAAAGCAGCTTTACAGTGACAATAGGAAATTAAAGTAACAGAGATTGTTTTGACTTTACAGCAGCTCTAGAATAAAGTTATTGTCCAGCTAAAGTTAGTTTTGATTGATTCACTTCCGTTGCAAAGATCATTAGTTATTAACTTAGGGGCCGCTAACACGACACCGTTCCAACAGAAAACCCTTAATGCGCCCCGGCCCGGCTCACCCGCACAACAACAGTGTCTGGCGGCTTGAGAACGCAAACCCGAAATAGGTTCCAAGGTGCAAGCCCTGAAAAAAAATAATAATAATTTTTTATCTCTGCGCAAGCTTTAAAAACGCAAACCTGTGAAAACGCTGACGGCGTGCACATGCGTATTATGTGTTCAGTCTATAGGTATGCGCGTTTGAATATATATGTGCGATGGCGTGTAGTCTTTCTTTGCAACTTAACCTCAACAAATTACTTGTCTGGCCTTAAAAATGTATAATACAGAATTATTCATCGCTTCCGCATAGCAATGTGAACCGGAACTAATTTAACAGCGTTTTATCTGTACAGAGGTAAAGGGAGCGCATGAAGTCACCCTTGGCCGGAGTGGCTGCGGTTACGCCCACTTAAGTGGCAAAAAGACTGAGCGGCAGCATTTGTTTTCAGTGTGAATGCACTGAAAAACACACAAAACACATCTAAAACGGGAAAGAGCTTTGTGATTGACTGTACAACTAGATTTGACAAGAAATCTGAGGTATATTTTTACAGACTGCCGAAAGCTACAGAACAGAGAAGCAAATGGATCGCTGCAATTCATAGAAACAACTGGACTCCAGGCAGCAAAAGGTGTATTTGCAGTTATCATTTTGAGTTAATATGCTGAATTTAGGGGTAAAATCATACCCTATTATATTGTTATATATTGTATTGACAACTCATCAATTAAATATTTACGATCGTATATTCTGCATAATTGGACGTTTTTTAAATAAGGACTGACAAAAAAACGATACAAGTTTTAAGGCTGGACGATATGACGATTTATATAACATTAAAACTGTAAGTGATCACATGGATTTAGACCTACAAATATTGTAAAATATAAAGCATTTACAGGCAAATTTGCTTTATGTATTTCCCCAGCGTCAAAATCAGGCATTTATAAATGTCAGGAAACAGATTCCTGGTTGCATGTCAATATCCATGGATCACTGGAGTTGTAAGGAATACTATATCGAGTCCAACCTTTAGTTTAAACTGATAATCATTTGTTTTACTCGTGTTTTCGCAGTTTCCCCAAATTAAATCCAGTCACACAGCAGACTCTTTTGCCACTCAGTCCGACTGAGGGGGGCGTGTTCCGGTGGGAAAGTGACGTCAATGCATACCCTCTATACAAACTTTTCTTGATTGTTCATGTAAACATGCCCAAGTAGAAATACATACCAGTTGTTCCTGGTTCTTCATCTGGTCAGCTGCTTGTTTGGTCAATACTGCTTTGGCCTCCTCAGCTACCCGTTTCTCTTTCTCCAGCCTCTCTGCCTCCTCCTTTGCTTTCTTCTGCTCCTGTTCAAGCTCTAGAGCTCTGCGTGTTTGCTCCTCCAGCTCTAGACAAACACAGACACGCATGGAGTATAACACATACTTTGTTATATTAATCAGAATGTAGCAGAAAGTAGAATTATTTCACTTCCTTTGACACCTCTCTTTATTCTCCAAAATCATTTACATAATCTTTAGATCATTAAATCTATATCAGTATACTGATCGGGAAGGAGAACTCTATGAGGACAACATTAATAGGCAACCACATGAGAAATTTTATACACTGGCATGGTATTACAAATTGCCTGTGTTGCCGGCACAGTATTAACATTGTTTCATATCCCTCAGATCTTTCCTATGTCAAACACAGACGAATCATCAACCAACTTGAAAATTGCAACAAAGCTAGCTAGTGGGAAAAATGGGAACTCAGGTGAGGGATGCAAAAGTTAACACATCTTTTGTTTAAGGGACTTCAAAGTGGTATTTTCTGGTTTAAGAAAATTACCTTCCTCAGAAGACAACCCTATGAGAGGCAAGAGATGTAGGTTTAGTTAGTATCACCCTCCACTAATGCAGAGAAAGTCATTTAGCCTCTGACATTACTTATTTTTTTCACTCAGGATGTATGCATAAGGTTCGAAAATACAGATGCTCACAGCTTGGAATATAACACATTTCTACCAAAGCTTTGCACAAATCTTAATTCCTAGCATCCAAAGCTCTAAAAGACATTTAAACAAATAATAAATTGCAACAAACAATAAAATAATAGCATAGGAAAGGAAAATAAACAGAATGATGAACTTTTAAATTGCAGAATTATTGTTATTGCTATGCAGTTTATTGTTATTTAACATTCTTTATTATTGTGCGATAAACAATTTTGGTGCTGTGTTAGTCGTCAAATGTAAAATTTGAGCCCTGAAGCAAAACCATTTGAGAACCACTGATGTAAGGTATTCTACTTCCTGGCATTATAGAGGGGAAGGGGGGGCTGGATAAACTATTAGTGAAGTCCAGATATGTTTGTACCTTTCTGTGCTTTTATCGTTTGTTCCTCAATCTGTCTCAGTCTCTCAATTAACTCATTCTTCTCTCGCTCTATTCTCTCCTTCTCCTTTTCTGCGTGCTCTCGTTTCTTCTTCTCGTTCTCAAGCTGAGCTCTGATGGAGACAGAGAAGGATGCAGTCAAAAACCTAAAAATTACTTTAGTTGTTACTTAAGTAATAGTAATTATGCAAAAATGATAACGCAAAAGTTAAAAAAGACAGATTAAACCACTCAATTCATATAGATTTATGAACTTTTTGAAGCTTGAAAATTAGGAGAATAATAAAAATATGTGACCTGTGCAATTTTCAAAAATGAGTTTTTCTTATTTTCACATTCTCTATTAAAAAAAACTTTAAAACTATGTATGATTTGTTGGAATCAGACAAAAAAAAAAAAAAAATGAATGAGCTATACCTGTTTGAAGTCGGTATAGTCAGCAAAGTCAATTTTGAGAAAAATTGAGTTAAAGTTTTCTGAAGGTTCCAAAACAAAATCCCTGGTAATAACACCAAACTTGGCACACACCAAGTCAAACCATCACCAAATCAAACAATACATAATAAACTTTTTTGTTTACATGATACTACAATTGTTTGATTAACATTAATGAGACAGGCAGCCTATATATTAAGGCCTACTGTACAGCATGGATCTAATATAATGATACACATCTGATGTTTTTCCCTAATAATTAGCCGAACGTTCACTTAAGACATAACAGATAATGTTTGCGTGAATACTTGTTCTCTTACGAGAGGTTCTCTCGTATTGCGTAAGTTTAGCTTACGCTACGGGTAAAGTTCATCTTTGCTCGAGATATTGAAGCCAAAATTATCCTTAATTTTGTATATATTGTCAACGCAGTGCAGCAACTGCAGACCTAGAGCAGGCTGTCTAGCGTGCTCATTGGCTGCCCTGCGGCAACTGCAGCAGCCTACCAGTGAGCCTGGTGTGACGTCACGCCCAATGGTGGCGCTTCGCGCCCACTACGCGTCACAGCCCGCGCAAGGGGTGTGGCTTAGCGTATAAAAGCGGGGCTCAGAGGCTGCTTCCCTGATTTTTCATCTCTTCAGCGAAGCTCTTCATACCGCTGGATCCGAGAGAAGCCGCCGCCGTCGAATCCAGCGACTGCCAGCAGAGGAAAGCGCCTGAGGAAGCCGGTCGACTTCTCGCCGCCTTCAGCCTTCCGTGCCAGCAACGCTATCCGGCGACAATATCCTTTACTGCTCTTTTTCACTGTATTTACTGTGTGTGTGTGTGCTCGTCGCTGCGACACACACTTCTCTAAAAGAGCGCGAGCGTTCCTGTAAGAATGCCTCGCACGTCCTGTGGCTCGTGCCGAGCCCCGCTCAGCGTCGGAGACCGCCATGTGTTTGCGCTCTCTGCCTGGGCCCGGACCACGCAGCCCTCGCACGTCGGGAGGCTGCGTCCACTGTGAGGAACTATCTATGTCGACCCTGCGGGCTCGTCTAGACCTCTTAACGGCAAAGCTGTCACTCCGCCATCTGCTGGACCGCGCAAGAAGAAGCGCCGTGCACAGAGACTGCCGGAGCCTGATGTGGCACTCAAACGCTCGCCGGAACGACTCCCTCGAGCATTTCTCTCTCCTTTCCCGCCCCCCCCCTCCCGGACGCGCAGCCGCCGGCTCCCGCCCACGCTGCCGCCGCCTCAGGGGATGAGGCGCTTGATATGGATGAGGACGCGCCGCTAACAGCTGTTCTAATCGCGGCTAACTTCTCTACGTACGAGAAAGCTATCCCGCGCCAGAGGGAAGGGAAGGGTTTTCTAGTCCCGCCGAGGCCGGACTAACCCCTATTTCTCAATATTGCAGCTATGAGCCTGTTATATAACATGCACTCCTGCAAACTCAACACAAAGCTGTGCGAACTTAAGCTTACGTCGTTTCCCCTGTGGCTCACTTGTGGAACCCTAAGCTTTCGCGCCAGAGACCTGTGTTCGAATCCCGGCTCTGGCAGCAGATAAAATTTATGCGGCTCTCCTCTCTGAGCTCGCGGACAGTTTTTCTTACGTACAGAAAGCACTGTTTAAAGCCGCGGCCGGACCGCCGTCAAACTATCTCGCCATGTCAGTCCCCCTGGAAAGGGCTACTGCAGTGGAGTATTTGGCAGCCAACGAGTCGGTAATGTTACCCGCTTGCCTGCACACAACCGCCGTTTTTACGGCAGCCCAGAGAAATCTCAGAAGAGTGTAATGTCTGGTATCCGGCTCATGCCGTTGGTGTTTCAAGTGTAGAAAAAGTGCCCACGTCTCAGTGTTCACCCCTACACACAAGCACTGTACCCCCGTGTCTCTCACGCTCGCAGAGCCCACTCTCTTAAAGCTGGCAAATGCCGCTTGAGTGTTAGATGCAGGTATCGTGCCCACAACCTTGTGTTCACGCCCATCCTCTGCTCGCTCTGTCACATGGCTAAACACTCTCATATGGGTCAGTCTATGAGCGTAAGTCGCGTGCCCGCCCACGCTTACAAACAGACACACCGCCTTCAGCGCCGCTCGCACACCACAATATTTTCACAAACCGTTCCCCATTCATAGCAATCGGGACGTCTCACGTGACACAGCCAGCTGCTGCTGTCAGCGAGCCGCCGTGTCCAGGCTCTCATATCTGTCAAGCTATGAATGTAAGTCACGTGCCCGCTCACGAGCGCTCACGCTTACACCGCCTCCGGCGCCGCTCGCATAGTACAAGTGCTCACTCGACGTTCCCCATTCAAAGCAATCGGGTCGTCATATATGAAACAGCTAGTCACTGCTGGTTATCTGGCTCACGCCGATGGTGTTTACGTGTAGAAAATGTGCCCACGTCCCAGTGTTCACCCCTACACACAAGCACTCAAAAACATGTGTCCCTCAGGCCCACAGAGCCCACTCTCATAAAGCTGGCAAATGCCACTCGAGTGTTAGATGTAGACATCGCGCTCGCGAACTCGCGCTCGCGTCCATCTCATGCCCGCTCTGTCACACGGCCATTTCAACCTCAAGTAAGTCAGGTTATGAGTGTAAGTCACGTGCCCGCTCACAAGCGCTCACTCTTACTAACAGACACACTGTCTCCGGCGCTGCTCGAGCCGCTTCATCCAAGCACCGAGGGCGCACGCGCCGCACCCACATCTCCGTTTCAGTTCCCGAAGGCCACAGTGTGCGGCGACCGAAACCCGGAGGCCATTCTCCCCCTGGCCACACATGCACAAGCATGGGAAGCCATTCCTGGGGTTTCAGAGTGGGTGCTAAGCACAATAAGACAGGGCTATGCACTACAGTTCGCTCGCCGTCCCCCGCGTTTTCACGCTCGGACCGAGTCGACAGTGAGCGCGAAAGTAGCACATCTACTTCACGCAGAAATAGCCAAACTGCTGTGCAAAGGAGCTATAGAACCGGTGCCGCCTTCTCTGAGCGAGTCAGGCTTTTACAGCCGTTATTTTCTCGTACCGAAGAAGGACGGAGGCCTGAGGCCTATATTAGATCTGAGATTTTTGAACAAAGCTCTCATGAGGAGACCGTTCAAAATTATTACAACCAGGCAGATCCTCGCGCAAATTCGCCCGAAGGACTGGTTTATATCTCTCGATCTGAAAGACGCGTATTTTCAGATACAGATTATACCCCGTCACAGGCCATTCTTGAGATTCGCCTTCGACGGCCAGGTATATCAGTACACCGTCCTCCCGTTCGGCCTGTCCCTGGCACCCCGTACATTTACGAAGTGCATGGACGCGGCGCTCGCCCCCCTCAGATGTCAGGGTGTGCGAATTCTGAACTACTTGGACGACTGGCTGATTCTAGCACAGTCAGAGATAGAGCTCGTATCTCACAGAACTATGCTTCTCAGTCATTTGGAAAGATTGGGTCTCACGGTCAACTGGACCAAGAGCTCATTACGGCCCAGCCAGTCAATCTCCTTTTTAGGAATAGAACTGGACTCCGTGGCTATGAAGGCTCAGCTGTCAACAGAGCTGTCAGCTGTGTTCAGCTGTCAGCTGTGTTCGACACCTAGCCGCATCTTTCCAGAAGGGCAGAACCGCCTCCCTGAAAAAATTTCAGAGGATGCTGGGCTGTATGGCCTCAGCTGCAGCAGTGCTTTAGCTGTGCTTACTGCGCATGCGCCCGCTACAACGCTGGTTGAACGCCCGCGTACCCCGTCAGGGGTGGACGCGCGGCTACAAGCGGATCAGGATATCTCAGAGCTGCATTTCAGCTCTGCAGCCCTGGTTAGCGGCCAATTGGTACCAGCAGGGGGTGACAATGGGAGCGATTTCCCATCGGAAAATCATCTCGACAGACACCTCCAACTCAGGTTGGGGCCGCCTTTTCGAGGGCAGACCGGTCTTTGGCCTGTGGTCAGACCGAGAGAAACGCCTTCACATAAACTGTCTGGAGATGCTGGCGGTCGAGAACGCGCTGAAGCGCTTCCTCCCGTTCATACAGGACCAACACGTTCTAGTCCGCTCGGACAACATGTCGGTTGTGTCCTACGCATACCGCCAGAGCGGTGTCAGATCCAGGAGCCTCTGCGATCTGGCAGAACGCCTCCTCGTTTGGACCCAGTGCTTACTGCGCTCGCCGAGAGTGACGCACGTGCCAGGGATCCTGAACGAAGGACCGGACAGATTGTCCAGGGACAATATTCCCCCCGGGGAATGGTCTTTACACCCCCAAACAGTCCAGCTGTTATGGCGCCTCTTTGGCAGAGCGGAAGTCGACCTATTCGCGCCAAAGGACAACGCTCATTGCCCAGTGTTCTTTTCAAAGAACGAGGATGCGCTGGCCCAACTCTAGCCCAGCCACCCGCTATATGCCTTCCCTCCCATCTCTATGTTACCACAGGTAATCAAGAGAATCAGGGAATCGCACAGCCCGGTGCTCCTCATAGCCCCGCGATGGGAGAACCAAACCTGGTTCCCGGAACTAACACGGCTGTCACGCACAGCCCCGTGGCCGATTTCGGTGAGGACAGATCTCCTCTCTCAAGCCTGCGGCTCGATCTGGCATCCCCACCCAGAGCGCTGGTCTCTGCACGTGTGGTTGATCAACGGATACCCGTTATCCTGCCAGAAGGAGTTATGAACACGATCACGCAATCTAGAGCCCC